TACTTATTCTGTTAAGCCAGTCAGTTTAGTTGTTTATTTATTCAGTAAGTGAGTCACTTAAGGTTAATTAAACTAGAGTCATGTTGAAATACGGACATTAAACGGTTTGTACAGTGAATCGCAAAAGCTTCACGGAACTGCAGAATAGATAGTGTGATTAAAAAGTTTTATTCCGACAGTTTTGTGTTTAAAAATGTGGCTTCCACTGCTTAAACTATAATGAAATCCTCTGCGGGTATATCCAGGATAATGCACGTCTGTAAACACGGAAATTTTATTTACACAACGGGAAGGTACAGGGTGTGCATTAGTTTGGGTCAGCGTGTGGATGAGTGGGTTGGCCCTTGTGATAATATTAAAAAAGCTCGAGATTTTATAGAATACAGGGTATTAACTGGCTTGAGTGATAGTTAGGTCCTCAATGACGACTTTGATTCATGGAGTTAGTTATTGGACAATAGGCGTGGCTTAACGTTTTATTAAAATTTCATTTCAATAGGCAACTAATATGTCTGCCCATCGATCAGAATTTTAGTATGGAATTAAGTTTCGCTTCTCCCTTGCTGTTTTGTTTCAAGGAATGGTCATTCAGGATAAACAAAGGAACAATGAAACGTGTTGCGGAGAAGTCGATGGGCCGGGGGAGGGATAAGCCCGTTAAATTGCATTAAAGATGGCCTCCTGGTAGGTACGAGAGCCCGCTCATTCACTGTCACTCACACACAATAAACAAGATCCGAACAGAAATCGCCATCAGTCAACGTCACAAGAACGGCGAAGGCGAGATCTCTCTCGAGTATCACGAGATATTCTTAGCCCAGGATCTACTTCCGGCCCTTACCCCGCCATGTAGACTTCCCCCACGACTTTTCTGCATAACCATGTGTTGATCCCTCAGTGTGAATGCAAAGATGGTCGTCCTTTGTCTCGCAGTCCCAGAAAAGATTCTTTTATCTTTCCTTTGTGCAGAATCTTATACAGATTTAAATTATTAGAATGAATAAACTGTAATTTTATATTTCGCTCTGAGCGGCTCTGGGACTTGCCCTAATAGAGCCTGTGTAAATGTGGTCTTTGCAGGTGGTTACCAACATTTCGGAGGAACGCATCGCCTCCATCTTCAGAGTGTAACTTCAAATCTCATACATGTAAATTTACTTTATATCTTAATTGCGTCATGTTTGTGTTTTATTGATACAATATTTTATTTTCCGTCTATACACAAACTTAAAATATCGTCAAAATAACCAATATACGCAACGCAAAATGTACAACAGTTTTTAAAATATATTAAAATTGATAGACCTGATGATGATGTAATACACATAGAAACATGTCGTCAATACAAAAAATGTAACAAGATGCAGTATCTACTGAGAATGTTATAATTTTAAGTAATTTTAATAACATTATTTTAAGTTTGTGTATAGACGGAAAATAAAATATTGTAAATTTACTGTTTAATCTCTCGTTGTCAGCAGTTTGTGCGCGCGTATAAAATTATAAATTATCTGCCGAGACTTTGTAACTTTGTAAGATGTCTGCTTGCTTCAATTTGCTTCGCCTCCTTTCGGTAGTTAACTCACGGGAAGTCGATTCGAAAGTGTTCAAAGCTTGCAGCCAAGCAGTGACGTCGAATTAATCATGCGGGAGATACAAGATGTGACGTGGCTTTCAACGTTCCTTCAACGCGAAGTTTGTATTGAATTTAGTCCACGCTGATGCAGCCTCCTGGCTCTTGTTTCGCGTCTCTTCACTTCACTTGTTTCGTTCTATAGTTTTATTCACTTCATTTACCTTACATGCCTGAATATAATACGCCCCCAAATATAACGCGGATAATAAATTTATAAGATTAAGATTAAGTCTTATGCGCATCATATGCTGGTGAGTTGCAGCTCTGTCCGTCTTCGCTGAATTTGTTTACAGTGGATTCCAGTTAATTGGGACACATCGGGACTAAACACTTTGGCCCAATTAAGCGTCTGCCCCGATTAACCGATGGCCCCAATTAACCGGAATCTACTGTATTCATTTTTATACCATCTTCGCGTTATGCAGAAAATATATTTTGACGTAAATACGTCTATATTTAAGGGTCAGTGTCATTCGGCAAAACTGTGTTACGAAAAAGTGCAACTTCATTGTTATGTTACCTAGGAAACGTCATCTGTTTACTCGGAATTGTTGTTACCTATAAAACATTACATTACATTACATTCAGCTACCACAGACCCATCTTAAGCGTAACTAATTCAAGTTAAATAAGCTAAGTCTTAATCAAACTTTACGCAATTGTAAAGCATGTATAAAGGAAATATTTAGAATAAAGCCAATATATAAACTTCCTTTCCGTATAGACGTATTTACGTCAAATTCTCCGGTACCGTGGTTCCACTGCCAACTTTTGTCCTTAAACTGTTCACTTGAATTTTAATGTTATTTGCACTGACGTAATTTGCGAAAAATTATGTATCTAGCGGATCCATGCGCTAACCTAACCTAACCTAACATAATTTTGTTGAAAGGAATGTCGACTCCTTGTAACTTGATGTTTAAGTCTTTAAAGCACTGTGACAACTGTAAGTACACTCTACTCTAACATTCAGTAACTCTTCTTTTACGAACAGAATGTATTTACGGGTTTCGCATCAATATTAGAATAAACAGCGATCATCTCCTTAAACAGCGTTGACAATTTGATTTTTATAACGGAGACAGGTTGAGTAGGAAATGTTTTTTTTTAAACTTCATTTAAATGAGCCTCAGAAGAGGAAGCTGGAAAGATTTTTACAAAATGATGTCATTCCTTCCTCCATAAATAAATCGTCTCTCACTTCTCGACCGCATTTTCTCTTTTCACCTCCAACCCCTCCGGGCTCTTCCCCTGTCAGCTTCTTGCTTCAAAGGGTTAAAATAAAGATTCCCCCGCGATGCGTGTTATTCTGTAACCCTGTGTGCATATCAAAGGCTTGCAATATTTTTTTCATAAAGACCACATCTGATATCGGAGCGACATCCGATACGATTTTCGATAAACATAAAAAAAGTCCTTGTCTGCACATTAACTGTTAAGGAAAGCGCTGTGTTACTTTTGTTATGTTTATCGTGCGCCAGATTCTGAATTACAAAGGGGAATTGCGCGTGTAATGGAGTCCCTTTTGAGGAAAATATTTTTTACGAATATCAGCAAGCGAGCGACGGGGAACAGAACTTGATTGAGTCTTCTGGGGAAAGGAAAGGCACTTCCTGCCTCGCGAAAGCATTTACGTTGACCGTAAGTGCCATGCTATTGTGATGTATGGAAGCCATTAACACCGCGTGACGTTGTGTCTGGTTTGATGAAGCCTTCTTCTCCTTCACATTTCTGTATCTTCATTTCTTTCAAGATGTTTTCTCCCCTTTTCGTCTAACAGAATAAACGTGCGAGGCCGTGAAATAACATGCCATATACAGCACGTGGTAAATTTTATGTTGAGAGTGGAAAAGGCAGGATCACGAATCGCTTAATGGAAGAACATGGATTGTGGGTGTTTGAGAACGAGGGGTGTGGTGAGGGGAATATTTTGACCCAAGAAAGGGGGGGTGAGGAGGATGATTAAAAAAAATTAATAAATACGAGCTCCGTGATTCACATTTTTTCACAGTGATGTTGCTGTGAGCAAATCGTGAGGATGAGAGGGACAGGACATGTAGGACGAATGGAAGATATGAGAAGTGCTGAAAGAGTTCCAGTTTGGAATTCTTCTGGCGCAGGTTAGAGGATAATATTAAAATGGATTAAAGGAATAGGTAAAGAGGATGTCGATTGGAGTCAGTTGGCTCAGGATAGGGACCGGTGGTGGGCTCTTGTGAACAACGGAACTGACATCCGGACGGCGCCAGATACAAACATTCAATCAATTCGTCGTTTGTCACCTGCAGTCAACACCTGTTATCGCGCTGTTTTCT